TGTAAATCTTTGTATCACTCTATGCTATTAAATTAATGAGCTCTTATACAAATAAATGAATTATAGCACTTACAGTGTTAGCAAAGTGGATCAGGATCCCACGGAGGCTCTGCGTTTACGTCAAGCTTAATCTGAGTGCTGCCTGGGCGCGGGACAGGATCCGCAGATAATAGAGCGATGCAGAGCTCTCGTATAATCTAAAAAAAATAAAACAGAAGATGAATTTATCTGCTAGCTAAATAGCACACAATATTTTAATATAAAATTTTAGATTTGAAAAGGAAACAAAATAAGCTAACCGATTGAGAAATTCGACTTGAAGGCGGTGATGAACCGTCTGTGTACTCTTCTGACGAAATTTTCAAGGTTTTTTCGGGCTTCCAAGCCAAAATCAAAGTCCACACACGCTCGAACCCTGCAGCGTATCTGGACCGAGGTCGTAACGACTTCGCACTCCCTTAATGCTAGTATGAATAACAGCCCCTATTAAGCAGTAGGCCTAATATTTATAATCAAGAATAACTCGTTGCTCCGATTTCAATGTGAAAAAAAATCACTTGAGCAATAAAAACAACCAGTTCACCTGTAATAAATAAAATCAGTTATATGAAACCAAATAATGATTTCAACGAAATTAACGCACATAAAATGAAAGATAACTTTTCCTTCTTTTGATTTAAATTCTAAATAATTCAAAATAAATATAATCCATGTAATTTTTTTTCATTCTAATCACTAATCAACCAAACACAAACTTTTAATCTTTTATCATTAACCCTTCAGGAAATTCATTTCATCTCTCTTATTTTTGTTTTTTTTTTTTTTTGAAAAAAAGCAATATCCTAATCGGATGCTGTTTAAGTAATTGTTAACAAATTTTACTAATTTCTAATATTTCCTTAAAGTTTAATATTTGCTATGAAGTAAATAATTATAATAAAATATAACAAATAAATTTCCAATCTATCTAAAAATAAAACTAAAGTTGAAAAAAAAGAAAGAAAGAAAAAAGCAAATGAATGGAAAAGATGAAAATGAATAGAGGTTTATTTTAACTATCATTGTCAGCTCTAGTTAAATATTGAACAAAAAAGAAAAAAAAAAAAAACTAAAAACTAAAAATAGCTATTGCTGAAGTAGCTATTTGCACACTAACTAGCTAACACACACACAAACTATTCAATTCATTTCAAAGCAAATTATATACTATCATCTTGCATTCTTCCTTTCTATCTCATTTCACACTAATAAAATGAACTTTTGCCTCATCTCTAGAAATTCTGAAAAAAAATGATTGAAAAAGAAAGGGAAATGAGGAGAGAAGAGGAGAGGAGAGGAGAGGAGAGAGGGAGAGAGAGAGAGAGAGAGAGAGAGGAGAATATGGATGGATAATTATATCTGATATAATGCACATGTTATAGAAAAAGAAAAAAAAAAAAAAGAATTCATTTTATCAAAATTACATCGAAAAACGAGGGGGAGAAAAAAAAAGGTGAAAGAAGAGGAGGAAAAATCGATAAACTTATGATGGTTTTAACTTTTTTGACTTTTTTTTTTGAAAATTAAAAAAATAAATAATAAAAGCAAAAAACCTAAAGATAGAACTAAAGAAAGGATGTTAAAATAACAAAATAAATTAAATATATTTTATGAGCTTAATTTTTCACATAAAAAATTAAGCTCATAAAATATAAATTATAAAAAATTAGCTACTAAAATATATATAACTTAATCCTTATTATTTCCGTTTTAATTGCTCCTTCTATTCTATATTCATTTAACATAAGCTTATATCTTGTAGATTATAATAAAAAAAAAGGGGGGAGGGAGGGAGGAGGGAAAAAAAAAGAAGTAGCAATACTGTCATAGCTAATTAATTAATTACGATAATAAAAACAAAAATAATTAATGATGATTGTAATCAAATCAAATCAAAAATTACTCAATTCCATTTCATTCTTGCAAATAAATCTGTAAACAATACAAACAATGATTATTACTCTGTTTATTTTGAAATTTATCCCTGAAAATGAATGGAATAATCAATTGAGTCAAAATTCTTACATTCAATTTTTTTTTCCTTCTTTTTTTTTTCATTACTGACATCATCTTAACAACATACTGATTACTAAAAGTACGACTACTAATTCATTTTCTAATAATGCCTTTCTGAACTTAAACTTACATTTTTACAAGTCCGAAATCATTTTCCTTTAGTAAGAAATTTAATTATTTGCCTTACATCTATCTACATTACACTAATAAGCTTATCAGTTCTCTTTAATTTCCAATTTTCTCTCCTTTTCTTCATCTTTTTCAAAAGAAAAAAAAGAAATAAAATATATACCTTTTGTTGATATTTGTTATCAAAATATCTTTTTTTTTTTTTGCAAGCATTTAACTTTTCACTCACAGCAGAATTGCCATTGTAAAAACTTTATTTACAGAAAATAGTTTAAGATATGTAAACATTTTTTTTTTTCTTTTTTTGACTGAAATTTCTAATATAATCAAACTATTAAATAATGTAATAAAAAAAAAAAAGAGAAAAGAATGAGACAAATAAAATGATTTGGATGAAAAAAAAAAGAAGAGAATGATAATAATAGCAAAATTAACAAAAGGAAAAAAAAAAAGAGACATCAATCATTGATGAGCTTATTTGATAAAGTGGTAAACATTACGATATTATAGATAGTAGTTAAAGTGAAATAGTAAAAGGTACAAAGAAGAGAAATGAAAAATAGCACTTGATAAGGAAGATAATTGGACCCAAAAAATAAAAAAAAAAATTCAGCGAAAGATGGGGAAAAAAAAAATTCAAATAGGCACTATTTCAAAAATAATATAAAATTTTTCATAATTTCAAATTAGCAAATATCTCACAGCTATTATTTCACTGATACATTTGTCAATTTTTTAAATAATATCCTAAATATTCTACAAATATTAAATCCAAAAATCCATATGAAATTTTTCATGCACACAAAACATAAATATCAAAAATACCATCAAATATCATCAAATAGGACGGTATTAAATTTCCATCTGCTATTTGCCTTTCTCTAAAAAAAAATTATAAACTTCTTTATCATTTATTTAAACAGATGACTAAATTCATCAACTTATTTGGAAATTTTTTTTTCCAAAAAAAAAAAAATGAATCTCTTTCTTTTATTAATATCAGGATGGAAATTAAAATATAGCCTAACTCGTAAACAATTATGGATAGATGATCTTAATCTATTTATAACAATAATTCAATACTTCAGGATGTCATAATACCTCAATTATACAACATTAAATTTCTCTAATACAGGGATATGTAAGATGAAATTTAATAAGTATAAAATAGAAAATGTAATAAAAATAATTAACAATAATAATAAGAAGAAAAGGAAAGATAATTAATGATAACAGTTAAAATAATAACAGCGAACAAATGGAGTGACAGTGTAAATCAACAAGTAAATCAATAAAAAATATCCAATTTATTTCAACATAAAAAAAAAAATACAATTTCTTACCAATTTTAATTACCAATTCCTTCTAGTTACCAATTAATTATTACTATAGTTACCAATTCTTTCTTCTTATTATTCAACAACTCTTACGTCATCGTTTCATTTGCAAAGTTATTGGTGAAACTCAACCAACATAATTACTTTTTCTGCAAAAAATCAGAAGAAATAAAAATGATAACCTAGATAATATAAACTGGTCCATATCAATTAAAAAAATTTAACTTTAAAACAAAATTGTATCAATAACTTGAAAGTCAACAACATTTATCACATTGTCTACATTAATCATTAGAAAGAAAAAAAAAAACAAGTGTGAATTCCGAAGATGAAAAAATGTTGTTTCATTGGAAATAAAAAGTCAAATAACTTCGTTGATCAAAGTTCTTACCTCATATGTATCCAACATTTAACAGTTATTCTAAGAAGAAAATAAAATAAATTGCAAATAATGATGATAAACATACTGAACACATCACATCATTCAATTTCCTTATCAAATTAACCCTATCTCCCTCTCTCTCTCTCTCTCCCTCTCCTCTCACCTAATCTTTTTCCCATTATTCTCCCTTCCTATCTCTTATATAATAATTAATTTTCCTCTTCTCCTATTTGTTTTGAAATCATTTGACCAATAATGAAAAAATGAAAACAATTCTTTATCACTACATCTCTTTCACTTCATTTTGTCACTCTTTCCTTCTCCTTTTTGCAGATTGCAAATTTCATTGTGTTGTTATTCTCGCTGTAATAAAAACAAACACTAGAATAACCTTAGTTGTCTATGCTCTTATCAATCTCTAATTCTAATTTCTTCTCTCAAAAAAAAAAAAAAAAATTAGGATTATAAATATTTCCAGATTATCTATTCATTACATTAGAAAATGATATGAATATATGGGAAATAAACGGACTTCTCATTGGATCAATATTGAATCGAGAATCAAACTGAATAAGCAAAATTTATATAAATAGAACTTATTTACTAATTCTATATAGATTATGTAATTCAATAATTTCTAAATAATATATTTGATTCCGTTTAGATCTCATTTTGCACAATATATAATAAAACATTATGAATGATCAGAAGAAGCATTACACAAATAAATGTTTTATTATAGACATAAAAAGACTAAAAAAAGAGAGGGAAAAATCAGCTTATACTACGAGCATTTATCATCAAATACATATACAAAAGAATTTATTAAAAAGAATAGTGTTTGAAAAGAGCACCATTCTCTCACTATGCCAACTTACAAAATTATTCATGATATGCAAACCTACAATCAACCAATTTGCAATATTTACATGATTAAAAATTTTAAATATTTTACATGACTAAAATTTAAAATATCCAAAATCAGATAGTACGAAGTCAACAAAAACGACTGACTTATCGTACACTAACAAAAATATTACAGTTGTAATTTGAAAAGAAAAACTGATAAGCAATAACGAAATTACTTAACAAATGATTCAGGAACGACGACTAAACGGAGCATCAGTAGATGAAAATAATCGTGCCATATCAGCAACTGATTTACGACCTGATTTATTGTCACTGTCTATGGTACAACTTACCGGACGAATTGAAACAGTCTGATCGGGCTTGGGTGGTAATGTTGGAGGTACTAGAGATGCACCTGGTTTATTTCGTCTTGGTACAATAGGTGGTGCAGTTGATGTTGATGCATTAGCTGATGATGATACAGATGGAGCTGATTGTTGGCCTACACCAAATCCTGTACCCGTGAAATTCTCTTGAGAATGAGGTAGCATTGCACAATTACGCATGATAGCTGGTGAACCTGAACGACATTCATCACTGATCGATAAATTGCTAGAATGAGCGTCAATCTCTGATTCGCCAGGTGAACAAGTTATCGATTCATTTGCTGCAGTATCATACAATGCGAAATTTTCACCGTTTTCACTTCCACTATAACTCTGTTGAGATTCTTCCACGAGTATTTGAGGCTAAAAATTAGACTCTAAGTTTGATTCAGTTTAATTTTAAATGACGAATTTCTTACATCTGCCATACTGATTTATTCATAATGATCATACTAACTTTGATCCTTTTGAAATTTCTCATCGGCCTTGGTCGACATTTTGATGGATGATTCAAAGCAGAAGGCATGGGTGGAGCATCTAAATTCACCTTTTCTCCTATTTCATCGTTGGATAATTCCGAAATCACAGATTTCGGACGATGTGATCTAAAATAACAACACAAACTATGACACTAATCATACATACAAAAATTTTGATACAAAATTTTAACAAGAAAAACCACATTTGTCTTAGATATGTTAAGCAAAAATCACATGTTACCTTACAGTGACCAATTTTGCAGAATTTGCTGCAGCAGCACTCGATGAACCATGATTTCCGTTCTGCAGTCCTACATCATTTTTCGCTACATTATTACACTGCACACGATAATCATTTACAATTCCTTGTATAGTTTCACTTATCAATTTCCACTTTGTTTTACTATAATAATAATAACTAAAAAAAAAAAAAAAAAAAACACTTGACACAAATATGACAATGTTGACTGAAGTGAAACTACAATTCCTATTTCATTTATTATGAATTAATTACACAATTTTCGATCAATTTTAGAAATTATCTGCTGTTAAAGTGACTGTCAATTATTAGTTTCATACCAATTTGTTTGATCAAAAGATAGCATATATTTTTTTAGCTTATTTCCATAGCATATATATATATATTTTTAGCTTATTTCCAACATATAATTCCAAAAAATCTCTAAGACCAACTTTTTTTGTGGATAAAAATTTCAATAAAAATATAAATTTGAAGTTATTTTGAAGTTTAGTTTCATTTGTGGTAATATAATGTAAACTTACCACAAATAGCTACTGATATTGTTCATTAAAGCCGTACGGCTAAGCGAACTACATTTTATGGATAAAGCTCGTTCACTTAAGCCTTCCTTTTCAGCTGCTTTCATAATCGGATGTAAAGCTTGCTGTAAGAACAATGAATTTCATCTCATTGAGAGATATTGAAATTTATGAAATATATATCAAAAAAAAATTCAGATCAAATGCAAACCTTAACATCACTTAATAGAACATCATCTAAGCGAGACATCACATCATAAGCTACTTTTTCAAGTTCGATATCCTGTTGTTCGGATAAGTCAATTGCATTCAATGATTGCTTCATTTCTTCTAAGCCAATTTTTGAATTTCCACCATCGCAGAATTCAATTTCCTGAAAAATTACAAATACTAATAAAATCATCGATTGACCTGAAATATGAAGCTAACACAGAAAAATAAATCATATAATCGTATAGTCAAACCTGCTTTGAAGCAATAATCGAACATATGTATTGTTTTTCAGAATGGCTACGACCTGCACGATTTTTCTCTATGCATGCTTCAATCTGAAATATTTGTAATTGTTTTCTGTAAAAACTTTATAACGGATAAATCTGCCTAGTAATATTATGAATATTACAAAAATATTTCTTAGTATATAATGAAGCGTACTTCGGTGAGTGCTGCTAGCGTTTTTCCACGATCTGTTCGATTTAACGATTCTGCTACATCAATCACAGGAAAAGGAAGAGAAATGAGTGTCGAGTTGCTGAAGATAAAATTTAAAAAAAAGAATATAAAGTAGATTAAATGATGTAACAAGATTTTTTTTTTTTTGAAAATCTTTGAAATTATTCATTCATTGCTTAATCCACTGTAATCATCAATAGGGATTTCCAAAACATGCATATTATGTTATAATTTCAAATGAAAAAATCTTATTTAAACGATCAGTTTTCATGTTACGATAAAAGATACAGCTGATTTAATAGATTTCATCTTAAAACTTACAGAATTAACGAATGTGCAATATCCACATAACCATCACCGGTGATCTGATTCTTATCAATAAGGACAGTTTCTAAGGAAGTATTAATTTGTAATGCTTTCGCTAAAAGACGAGCGCCAAAATTGCCCATTTCATTACCTAAAGTAAGATGATTCATTCACATTATCCTTAAAATAATATGAAATTAAAATATTGATATTAAAATAAAATATTCGAGAAATTACCACTTATATCGAGATAATGTAAGGAAGACGAAACACCAAGTGTATTTAATAGTATGCTTAAATGTGATCCCAAACGACAATCCGCGATCAATAATTCGTTTAATCTCTAAATTAAACATTTGAATTTTCAGATTATAATTTCCTTTAATGCTTTTATAACTATTATTTATTAAAATTATCACTGCATATTTATGATATCCTTTTCCTCAATGAAAATTATATCATAACTGATTATCATTATAATTTGTCAATATTTCCTAATCCTACATTAGTTAGTATGCATTTCTATTCCACTTTTCACTTAACTTATTTCGTTCCATCAGCATCAAATTTGGTGTCAATAATATATGCAACGAACAAGTTATCACTTATTATTCAAATAAATCACATTTTCTCTAAGCAAATGTGAAAATGAAATAAATCAAACAAAATTATTATTGAGACTATACTTTCTTATATTACCTTATGAATTCATTACTATCATACCTTAATAAGAAGAAAACAAAATTCAAAACGAGAATCATCTACATAACACAACATAAAATTATGTTGAAACTTACCGAATCATCCTCACCAACAAGTTTGACAATTTCTAAAAGAATATTGGATACCATTGTGCTATTCTTCGCTCCTCGTTTACAATTTGGAAAATTTGCTCCACTCAAATCCAATTTGGTAAGGTGATGCATTTGTGAAGTTGCCAAAACTACCGGTAACAATTCTGAATCCAAATTATTATCTTTCAGCGATAGTGTACAAACATCTACTCCAATAAGGCACGTCTCCAACACAGCCATTGAACTCCTGTAGCAATCTTATAAAAATGACGCATAATTTTTCAGATTAGTAAAGAAACAAATTTGTTTAGATACCATTTTTTTTTTTTTTTTTTTTTGGTCGAACTCACTCACTAATAATGCTGACGGAAAAATAACCCGCAAAAATCACTTGAATAATCAAACTTTTTATTGAGTCTAACTAACATTCAGTAGATCATAAATCACTTTAAAAAACTGGTAATAACATGATATAATTTATTCGACCTATGTTCTGAAAGTGAGATTAGATGCAAAACTCTATTACATTCTTTATCATACGAACAGAAACATTTGATGAGTATATATAAAAAGTTATAAGTATAGCTTCACACTAAAAAAATATTAAGGTTTTAATTTTAACACCAATTACCTGTCACAGATATTATTCAGACATAGCGTGAATGGTTTCAGCTGCTGATTACTTGCAAGACCGAGAAGTAAGGCCTAAAATAACATAAAGAAATGGAATAATTTTAAATCCATCCAAAGATAAATTTACTTCAAAAAAAAACAATGAGTTCAAAAAATTCAAAACTTCAAAAAACTCTGCCACATTCATAATCTATTTTAGTTCATTATCCTTCTTCTATCATGAATAACTGAAAAATTATAACCTTTAAAATATCCGCATTTAATGTAGTATTTGAAAAATCAAGTTCTTTTAATGCTACAGCAGTAGAAAAATATTCCTTCATTTGTTGTGCACTTTCTTTGCTACGACGACCCGTTTGACAACCCGCTAATCTAGAATTAAATGATGTAAAATAACAAAGAATATAAAAAGTTTCAAATAAGATATAGGATGAATGATTGTATTGATATTAAACAAGGTCGAAATGTAGAATATCTCTGATAGGAAATTATTTATCATTCGTTAGTATTTGTTAGTATTGAAAAAGAATGACAGCAGCTTGAGAAATAACAAATAATATTAAAAAAGATTAACGAACTTCAAAATCTCTAATTGTAAACCGCCATAAATGAGCGAACCCCATAGCTTATCGATATTAATCCCAGTACCAGATAGATTCAAAACTCGAAGACTGATACATAATGATAGCAACTGTAGCAAATCACTGACATCCTGCATATATGCTAATAATTAATTAAATAAAGGAAAAATTAAGCAAATTAATTTTAACAGATTTTTCTAGCATATTTTACAACTACTACATTTCATGATATACACTTTTTCAGATATATGCATTTACCGTCGATTATGGTGAAACCTTAGTTTTAATGCTATTTCCTATTTTATTTTCTTGCTACAAATTTTCATAAACAAAAATTTTGTAAAAACTTATCAGAAATAAAAAGTTTCTGACTAATTCATCATATTAGTCTACACTTCGTATTCTGCTTACATCTTTCAAATTGTTTCCTGAAAAGTCGAGCGTAGACAGAAATTTGCAATCAGGAATTGTATTTGCTTTGATCCCTTGCAAAATTCCGCAGCATACTTGATTAACACTTTTCTCTGACATTGCACATTCAGAAAGTGTTAATGATTGTAGTGATGTCAGTTTTGATAGCAAAGATGATAAAGCGACAAAACCTAGAATAAATTTGTAAAAATACACATTAATCTATGGCTTTGAGCATTTGCTGTATAAAATTTAGAAAAAAAAAAAAAGAAGATGCTTCCTTATCCTTCTCTTTTCCAAAAATTCTTTAAAGGATTCATTTGAAAAAAAAAAAAAAAAAAAAAAAGATCAAATACATTGATAATGAAGCTTTAACCTTTCTTATCATCCAATACATTCTTGGAAAAATCCACTTCTTCCAGAGAAGATGCATTACCTTGTAAAGCGTTCGAAAATGAAGCAATAAAATCTCTAAAATTTTTAACAAATTTATAAAACTTGAAAGTTTGCATTTATTTATACTTCATTAAATGTCATGGCATTAATGATTTACAAATTAGCTTTACTTTAAAGTGATTGAAAAGCATCTGCTGCAGTGCAGTCCTTTACCTGCATAATTTAGAAGCAACTCTTCAATCTTTATTGGAGTAAGGATATTACGCATCCTTTTAAAATATAATTTAAAAAAATACAGCAACAAAAAGATAACTTACTTTGGAAGAGCACAGTTACGAAGAATAAGAACTTTCAGAGAACGTGAATTACGAACAACTGATAAGATAATATCAACAAGATCTGAACCTAATCTGACATCATCAATGCATAGGCCCGTAAAATAACAGGAATACTGACATACAGCTACGATTGATAGCAAATCTCTAAAAACATGATGACCTAACAAAATCTTCCATATTATTTTGCAACAAACTTCAAAAACGAAAAAAAAAAACACGATATTTAGAATTCTTGATTCATAAATCAGAGTTAATTATTGTGCAAACTTATCGAAAACATAGCTTTAGTTCATTAAAAACGATTATTTAAAAAATTTTAACTTGAATACCTTGGAAGCAAATGAGTGAAGTCATCTAATCTTAAAATGTGAATTCCATGAGTAGCATATATTTTTTCTACATCCTGAAAAAAAACGGCCGAATTTTAAAGCATTTTTCTATTAAATTTGAAATAAATGTAAACGAACAAAAAAACGTGGAGATATGAAAGAGAGAATCTTACCCATACAACTTCATCACGAAATGGTTGATCGTAATAATCACAAATGGCAGCGTAAGAACGACGAAAATTATGACATGGTAGATATGGTCGGCTACTGGGTAAAAACCAAAATTTGTCATATAAATCGGAAGGAATTAATTCCAACAAATTCCTGCATATATTTTATAAATATTAGATACAAAAAAAAAATGTAAGGAGAAATCCTATCATTATATATAGCATGTCATCGGTAATGATAAGCAAAAATTATTTTATTTTTTATTTTGTAAGTGTAAATTCAGACAAGTTTTTTGGCAAATTTTTGACTTTCCTTACCTTAGATTTTGAATAATATCCGGAAAATAATGTTTAAGAGCGGAAAGAACAGAAAGAGCAATGTTTTTGGAACCATTTTCTAAACGAATGAAAATGCGTCTTTTGCCCAAAAAACTTTCATCGAGACCAAAGCACACCTAAGAAGATTAAAAAAATAAACAGATAATAATTTTGGGAAAAACAAAACGTTAGTATCAGAGATTAAAATAGCTAAAAGTTATTAATACTATACTTACAATTATTATATGTGCTTATTATATTTATTATATTTGCTATCTACTTCACACTTATTACACACGCAATTTATTAACTGACAAATCCAGCTGTTTTAATATTAATAACAACAACGGCTTGTAGCATTTCGATAACAAACTTGACATTTTAAAATACGATTTAATTCTTATATTCATCCTTTAGATAATTAGATTCAATATCTTGGTATGTAATAAAACGTCTGAATATTTAATAGATTTTTTCAAAGTTTCACTGATTGATTATCACCTGTCCCAAAACTTCATTAAATAACTGATTAGCTGCTTAATACAGATTAAAATGATGACAAACTATTACTTCATTATCATTGACAATTTGAATAATACGTATTGCTAAGATATGGAAAGTTCGATCAATTTTCAACGAAGACGGTGTTTTCCCATGTAATATAAAAACACGAAATTTTGACAATGCGAAGATTCGATTCTCAAACTTGTCTGTTTTTGTGCCATATTCTACGCTACACGCCAATCGGCAATCCCAAAATTTTGATCCAAATATGGTATTACATTTCTCTGTAACAACAAGAAATATGGCTCAACTAATTAAAAGAATTAATATATAGAAACCAAATATTTTTTCATCCAATGCTTTTTTTTTTTTTTTTTTTTTTTATTAATGGACATATTAATCTCTCCTTATGTGAAAAATTACATGCATAAAGTACTGTAATAGGAGAATGGATATCCAGCAAAAAATAACTGCTACTAGAAATATAAAAATTCCTGCACACTATAAAACTTAAATTTAAAACAAAAAATTCGTGATTATAAAATTTCAATTTCAGTGTAAGTGAACAGAAGTGCATTTGTTTCGGTCTTTTTTTGATTAAATAAAATAAAAACATGTGATACCTTGAACATAGCTACATAATTCGGCGAGTACACCTCGTGATAATGACATGTCTTAAATGATTTCCACCCTTTACATACCCATTTGCTTCACACCGTTGCTTAAACTCACAACCTGTAATAGTGACAGAAATTAAATTAAATCTGTAATTTATGGAATTTCTAGAAGCAAACATCTGGTGGATGTGAGATGCAACAAATCTAATCGATAAAGCAATAAACAGCTTTTTTTTTTTTGCATCCATATCAATGAATAGGGAATGCAATAGCTATTTGAATGAAAAATAACAATGGGTAAATTAGGGGTAAGTATAGGAATTATTCACCAATCACAGATATTCGTTTAAAGATGTGTAAATGGAAAATAGGAACGAAAACATGTTAAAAACGTAAAAGAGCAATATAACATAAATATTCAAGGAATCGAAGAAAATAAATAAAAATACAATACTTGAACACTTTGATATTATGAAAAACGCACAACGTACGATCATCCAATCAAACAAAAAAAATATTCAACAACATATTATTAAAACAAGCAAAAATAAAAAAATAAGAAACAGTACAAAGTTAGCTTTGACATATGTTAATTTCAACAAATTATTAATAACTAGTAAGATAAAGTGATAAAAAAATTATCAATTTATTCATTTAGCAATAAAATTACAACTAATTATCAACTATTTCATTTCACTTTTTTTGTTTAAACTTCCATTTATAACTTAACTTAATTTCTCCATCCCATTCTTATCTTTTTTTCCTTTTTCCTTCACTTTCTCTTATCTATTTATCTCATTTTTCTATTTTCATTTCATTGATAGTTTCTTTCGTTTTTCTTTGTTTTTTTTTTTTCTTTCATTTTTCTTTAAACAGTAAACTTTTGGCAGTAAGTCAAAGTACACGCTTCAAGAGTATCGCAATAGAATTGCAAAAATTTTTACAATTAGTAATACTACGTGTAACGTGATACGTGATATGTGATATCATTTATCACGTCAAATGACATACATCCCTTCTAGCACGTAAACATATCCACTTTCATACATCTAAAAGTTAATTTTAACACTAACTACTATTACTTCAATATGTGTCATCAGGGCAAGATAGCTGCAACATATGCATGAAGACAACTGCTGCAGCGTTGTTCCTGTAGGGTTGATAACTTATGGTTGTATTAAATGTTTTATCTTTTTTCTCCACTTCCACTTTCGTTTTCTTTTCTTTCTTTATTAAAGTTATTTTAGAATAATCGTAAAAAGTTATTTTAGAATAGTTATTATTATCACTATAAACTTATACATGTTGTTTTTATATTAATGGAAAGATTTAGATTGAAATTTCTTTGAAGTTTTTTTTTTTTTTTACTTTTTTTGATTGATTAAAAATTTTATTGTTAATTATTGAATTAGAATAATATATTGTTGTTCTACTGCTTAATTTTTGTAGTTGTTGTTCAACGATTATCATTTCTCAGTCAATTATTACGATTTCTTCCGTTTTTTTTTTCTTTTTTAAACTATCCCATATGTGATTAAATTTCAAATCTTAAAGTTTTATCCAATTTCACTCATTTATATATGATCAGAAGTTAGATTTGTTTCTAAAGTGTATCAGTAATGAATAATTTCTGTTTTAGGTGAAATTATTTTGGATTATTTCTCTTATTTGTTTCTTTTTTTTTTCTTTTGGTCTGCACTTCATTTATTTTGAAATTTTTTTGCATCTTATATATATAATAAATCATTTTTTATCATATAACATGCATAGAAATCATATAACATATACTTTTTACCATATAACATATACTTACGACATTACTATAGTTTTCGTCATATATATGTTTAAATTTGATTAAATATTGATAAATATATTTCAGTATGAAATTCATTTTCTGTGATGGTATAATTATCGTATAAAGAAATTCGATGGCATTGAAAAGATAAAATGTCATTTAAATGGCCATGGCAGTATGAATTTCCACCATTTTTCACGTGAGTTATTCGGAGAAAAACGAGTGAAAAAAAAAAAAAAACATTGTCGGGGAAAGTATGATTCAGAAATGATTCATTTTTGAGATTTTCTTTTAAAATAGTAGTAGAGAGAATTTTTTTTTTTTTTGGTGCAGTGAAGAGTGTTTACTTTATAGTGGTGAAAATTTTTTTTGTTAATGAAAGAAATTTTTTTTTTTTTTTGAGCTTATTAATTTCTTACATTATCGTCAATATTTTTGCATCATGATTATTAGTATAGGATTATCCTCAGTTAAAATCTCATGCTTCTATCTTTAATATCAAGAATTGAATTTCAGACTTTCCTGTAATACTTGTTTGTTCTTACAACAAGCATAAGTGTATTTATGTCTCCAATGTTGAGTAAATAAATTTCAAAATGATTGTTATTAATTATTATTATTATTATTATTATTATTAGGATGTAAATGGATTTCAGCAATCCTTCTCCTGTTTCTATTATACTTTTTTAATTTTAGTTTACAAACTACCTTAATAACTCGTGAAAAGCAGTTAGAAGCTTGGAGTCGGTTAGTTGTCGATTACTGCCAATTTCATAAAATTTATACAGTGGACTTAACAGATATATCAAATTCGGAATTGTTTGTTAATAGTGCTCTAAATCGGAAATTGTCATTGGACGGTGTACGAGTAGTGTTCGATTATCTCGAGCATAAAAGTAGGTTTACAATCTTATTCGTTCATTAGATTTCTCTGTTTTTCATCTTTTCAAAATGAAACCTTACCAAAAAAGAAAAAAGAAAGTATAAAAATAGAAACAACTAATGTTGACAGTTTTCTTTTACCTTCTAAGAATCATTTCTTTCGTTTAAGATTTTACCGCAATAATATTAAATAGTTTGAAAATTCTAGTAAGGTTTTTAGAAAAAATTTTTTAGTAAAAATTTTTATCACAATTTTATAAATTCATGAATGTATGGATTATTAATTAAATTTACAGGACATATCGATTGGTTAGATAAAACCAAAAATCGTTGTCATATCTACTGGAGGCGTCCAGAAGAGTGGGCTATACTAATATACGAGTGGGCAGTAAGTAATAGTTTACTTAACACTCCTTGTACTTTGTACGAAATAACACAAGGAGACGACGTTACACAAGAATGTCAGTTGGTTATTTATCTTTTCAATTTTATTTCCTAAGTATTATTATTTTTCATAGCACTATACGGGGAGGAAAAAATTTCTAAATTAGAGTATAATGCATTGCAAAATCATATGTAACATTGTGAGAATTTTTAAGCATCATATAACGATTTTGAGAAGTAAATTTAGTTTAAAGTATTCTACTTAATTGAGCAAATAGTTTGAGCACTGGATGATTGAATTTTGATTTTATGTAAAGTGATCTCCTGCAATGAAGTTATTCGATTAATTTGATAAGTACAGGAATTAATCGTTCAAGATTTTAAGTCAATTTACTCTTAGTCTTTTGACGGAGAAATTCTTGTGAATTGTTCATTTTAATTGCAGCTTTTTACGGTTTGGATAAGGACGTATTGTTAAAGTCATTGGCAGTTCTTGTTGATCAACGTCGTGCTCAATTATTGAACAGTGGGACAGGAACAGAAGGCGTAAAATTTCTCCAATAAAACAATTTTGTAAGTTTCAGTTTTGACATATTTGAATAATCGCAGAATTTCAGACTAAAATGTGATGAAGTAAGCATAATTCATTTCATTATAGGAAAATGGTGAATGAAACTGATTGCCCATTGGGAAAGCAATTGGACAACAAAGTAAGTTGGATTATTTAACTTTTCTGCGAAATAATAGTTCAAGTATTTAAAGAATGATAATAAAGTTCTTCAAATAACTAATAGTGGTAATTGTTCCACTTCTTCGATTTTATGCCAGTTCTTTTTTCTTTTAATAATTTTCAAATATAAAAGTTCTTGAAATGAGTAAAAAAAATACTTGTTCATATCAAGATTACAGGCATTGCTTTGGAAATTTTTTTGTTACCGATCGTTTTCTGCAATATTCTTGCAATTGTTGTTGTTTTTTTTTTTTTTCAGATTACTGCTGTAAACAATACGGGTTCTGGCTTTTTAAGCAATAATGAAATAATTGAAGAAGGTGATACTGTGATTGTTTATGTCAATTACGGAACATCTTATGCGGTAGAAGTGAAACGTGGCCTCATTCTTACAATGAGATATGGTGCTTTGAAGCATGAATATCTAATAGGAAAACGGTAATTTAAATTGAAAATATTAAATTATAAATCAATGAATTACTTCAGAACAATTTGAGAAATATTCAGAAGTTGATTATTTGCTCAATATCAAATTATCATACTGATTAGCACTTATCAATTGGTGTAGAAATGATCTTCAATGTTTTGTAGTTTAAATCTTTACAAAAAAGAGAGAAAAACTTTCACTTTTTTTTTTTGTTTTCCTTTTCAGTTATGGGTCTCGTATTAGTGCTACAGCGGGTTATGTTTATGTCTTACGTCCGAATGCAGAAATGTGGACACGTGCTTTGCTTCGACGAACACAGATTATCTATACACCTGATTCTGCACTAATTCTAATGCTATTAGATATTAAACCGGGATCGGTGAGTTTATATATATAGATTTAGATGTTTTTTTTTTTTTTTTTGAAATGGTTTTCAAAATTAGTTGATTATTATAAGAAAAATACAGATAGTTTGTGAATGTGGTACGGGAAGTGGTTCGCTTTCACATGCATTAGCAATGGCTATTGCACCAACAGGACATCTATATACGCATGATGTTGAAGAGCCAAGAGTCAAACAGGTTGAACTTGAGATGTTGGTTAGTATTCTAAATCATTGTCTCTCTCTCTCTCTCTCTCTCTCTCTCTCTCTCTGAAAATTATTTTTAATCTGCAATGCTAAACGTAAGAATTCTACAAAAAGAAATAATTTTTATCAATTTTTATTATTTAATGTTATATTTTGTTTAAGAAATGTTTGCAGAAACATGGATTAGGTGAAATTACTACATGTGTTCATCAAAATGTTATCAAAGATGGTTTTTCCGTGGAAAATATATGCGATGCAGTCTTTTTGGATCTTCCCGCTCCATGGATTGCAATTAAACATGCAAAGCATGCACTAAGTCGAATAAATGGTGGCCGTGTGGTCAGCTTTTCTCCTTGCATTGAACAGGTATTTCACTTTTCTTATGCAAATTAACCTAACAGTAGATATTCTTTGAAAATGAGAAGAATTTGTTTTTTTTAGTAATTTTGATGCAGTTCTTAGTAGAATTGTATTACAGATACAAAGAACATGTAATGCTCTTCAATGTGAAGGTTTTGTGCAAATCAGTACGGTGGAGTTAGTGCCAAGAAAGTTAAAAGTAATTATTTTTGTTTTTGTTTAACAGATTTACTTTGATTATGAAAAGATATTCGTTTTTGTTATCAGTGTTAGCTACTTTTCATTTTTTTTTTTTTTTTTAAAGGAGATTCTTTTGGTTAGTATTAGTACCAGGCATTTATTGCTAGATTAAATAAATATTGATTAGTTCTTGATTTTCTTGCTTAGCATTATCTTGAATTGATTGATTCATAATATTTTATGAAAAGTACTTGCTGTTTCAATATTTTTGAATGAAAATTTAAAAGACCGAATTTTTTTTAGACATAACATTACTATTACTTCAATGATATTAAATATAGGGGAATGATTGAAATTCTGTCAATAATGTTTCATATATTATAATCTTCAAATCTAGTTTTTCAGTTTCCATTGTAACTACCACACTATAAGCAGAATAGAAAATTTTATGATATTCCCATCAGATAGTTAAAAAGGAACTAAAAAGAGACTAGGAAATTTCATGTAAATATATGAATATAGATATATTAAAATCCTTCAGCCATCCTATACTGATTTAAATTTTTTTATAAAATGAAAGAAGTGTAAAATTGTATCTCATCTGTACTAGTTTTTTTTTTTTTTTTATAGCTGTCATGAACTATCCAAGTTAGTGATAGTGTTATATCAGATAACCGGTTGTAGGAGGTGGATTGATATTCTGATACACAAATTTTAAACATTATATAGATTTTATATAGTTTAATTTTATGTATGCGATATAAATATGGATACATTGAAATCATTCAATACGCGAAACATTCCTGTCACAAAGAAGAGACATTCGCAAGATAATGGAAATGAAATAGCAGTGGCATCAAAAAGGCCTAAATTGAAGGAAGATAAAATGATGGTTGCATCAAAAAGACAATGTCTTACAAATCAGAGCAGCAATGAAAAGAGTTTCACATCAGCACTACTACCATTTCCAGCAATACAACCAACACATACTGGATATATCATTTCAGCAACATTATTACCATCAATTTCATCATAATTTGTTTTGTTTTTTTTTTTAAAAAAGAAAAGAAAAAAACGGTATCTTTGTATACCTAATTTTGCTACATTTTTTTTTTTCTTTGTTAATTTCAAATTTAAATTTAACAGTTTAATTTTTTTTTTTTTTTATTCGGTAAATTTATGCTTATTATTAATATAAGAATTTGCTTGCATGAATTATAAACAATACGTATTAATATTAATCCCGGTGATTTGTTTCTTTTATCATTTACTATTTGCTTTTTTTTTTTAAAGAATAGTATATAGTTAGACTTTGTATTGATTAATTTTTTTTTTTTCTCGTTATGGCTTTCTTGCTTTATCGATTTTGTGTTATTGTTGTTATAAGTGAAAAAAAATAATAAAATAAAATAATTCTATGTGGTAGTTTGAGGGATCTTATTTAAACATCATTTTCAAGTTACTAGGAATATTTGAAAAGATGTATGTTAGATATTTTCTACTTTTGAATAATTAAATGCTAAAATTACAAATTAATTATTTATTTCAGGATGTAATCCAATAGTAGTATCATCAATACGATTGTTTATTAGCTCACACATAAATATTTGCTGTTCGTTCGTTTCATTTGCCTATGTATTTTTAAGTAGTTTAAAGATCAGATATATATATATTTTTTTTTCTTGGTTGATTATATTTTTATATAAGTGAGTAAAATATTTGCATTTACAGTTTTTAAAATATTTCCCATCAATTAGGATTGAACATAAATACAAAAAAAAAATAATAATTTTATTGCTTCCGTGTGTTTTTTTTTTTTGTTTGTTTATTTTAAGTATTATTATTCTGATTTATAGTTAATTAATTGATTGCATATATAATTGTTAGAGCTTGATTTATATATTTTTTTTTTTCTTCAAAAAATTGTTTTTTTATGATGAAAATATTTAGACAAATTTTATTATGTCGGGGTATTATTTAAATTTTTTGGAATTTTTTTTTTTTTTATGTGCATGTGTGTGTGTTTATTTGCTAGTAGTTGTTATAATTGTTTTTCTTTTTTTTTTTTTTTTCTTTTAAAAGTAGTAAAAAGTACAGTGTATTCTTTTTTTTTTTCCTTTGCTTTTATCTCAGTACAATGAGATAAAAAGTTTTTTTGCATCTTAAAAATAAAACGAAAAATTTACT